TTCACGTCCCAGGGATCCAGGGACAGTGTGGGTGTTGCTCTAGACTGGCACACCTCTTTAGCATGCAGGGTGAATTTTGTGGTTTTGCACGTAAATATTGTTTGCATATCCTTAAATATTGTTTGCATATTTAGATTTTAAAAGGGCAGAAAAAAATTAACATCCTACTTAAAGGTAAGTAGTAAAGGGAGGAACAATATATAGCAGTAAATTAGTTTTGATACATTTTTCTAAAAAGTACTTATTTGACCACTTTCAAAAATTCAAAAGTTATCATCCATACTTCAATCAAACCATAAATTGAACTTCACACTACATCTAGAGTTTACATGAACAGTATAAGCCTTTTACTTTGAAGTATGCTCCAAGAAGAATTCTTAGCATTGAAGTGGTTTATTTTCTTTGTAGTGTTTACCTCATTTCTACTCAACACTACAGGGTGCGAGCAATATACAAGACAGATTTCCAAATGATAGACAACTTTTCTCTCCCCAGAATAAGCATATCATGGTTTGGCTCTGAGGGTTTAACTCTTTCTTCTTTTTTTTTTTTTTTTTTTTTTTGTATAAATTCTTGGGAATGGTTAGAATTATTATCCTTGATTAATATAGGTTGCTTCTGTCCTTGAGAGGTACAGCAAATCAGACATACTCAAAGCGTAGCATATATACTTGGATCTCATTGCCATCAATCAAAGTGCAGAAACCTGCTCCTGTGACTTGTAATGTGTAGACAGTAATGGTTTGCAACATGTTCCAGCTGCATTTTTTTCCTTTTAATGATCATTGTCTTGTAATATTTCTGGAACTGGAGCAGTGCTGGCTCAGACCTACTATCAGTACAGTATATGATTTTCAACCTTCTCACCCCACATATTACAAGCCCTATTGCAACTTACAGAAATTACGCTAACTTTGTCTCATCTTGTTTTGATTCATACATCTAATTTCAAGTGTGAACATGCCTCCATAGCTCTTTGATATATGATCTGTGCTAAGAGGTAACATTAATCAGACAGAAGGTAACTCCCACTCTTTGATAAAAAACCTTGACAGCTGGGTATTTCCTTCCCAAAGCTGCACCCAAAGCAGCAGGCCCAAGCATTTCAGTTACCACATTGCTGTTCCCAAGGCAGCAACGACCCTGGACAGCAGTGATTAGCCAAAGCCCTGACTTCACTCTTCAAAGTCAAACATCTCTCTAGAGAAATTTGAATGATGTAGTACTATTGAGCAAATTCAGTGGCATCAGAGAAATGGTTGACTTTGTATGCAGTCTCACTGGATGGGGGAGTTAGAGTAAAGGTAAAAGAGAAGAATAGATCATTTTTGCAGCCAGTGGGTAAGAAAGAGAGATACAGCTTAAGAGAAAGAACAAAGCAAATGGATGACGATGTCTGGTTTTACAGAGTAATCTATGCAGAAGGCTCTTGTCATAACTAGAGAGTGAATTGGTTCTCCCAAATGTGAAACGGCCTCTGATATTCAGGGGTTCACAGCCTATATTAACTATGTTGCGCTCTCAGCTCCACACTGAGAAAAGTACGTTATACAGGCCACCTGGTTTGTGTCCAAGACTCTGCCTTTTGTATGATGCCTCTGAAGCTGGCCAAATTTAAGAGCAGCTTTACAAGGTCAAATACTCCCCTCTGTAAGGCTGTAAAGTAGGTGCCTCTGAGAGTGTCCACCTCTGACTCTGCCCGCCTGATCTTCCTGCCTGCTCAACAAGGACAAGTGGAAGGACACAACCCTCCTGAAGGTGCTTTTGAGCGATTGGAAGTGTCATTGCCATTCACTTTGCAGGGACTGGATGCATTTCTAGAGCGTGCTTAGTGCTCCACTTACTAAGAAAGAAATGATGTAGGGGTAAATCTCAAGGTAGAGAGTTGTGTGTGAACAGGTATTTGATGTGGGACTTAATGGCAATTGCCTTTATCCAAGAAGTCATTTGCATGAGGGAATCAGAGTACTTCCCCAGAATATTCACTGGGCCACCACACTGCTGATGCACAATTTATTGGGCCAGGGAAAGAAGCTGAAGCTTCTTGGTTGAAAGCATGTCTCTACAGAGTATAACATGTTGTCCTATAGAGGTACTAAAGCTGTTTCAAACTGAGGAGATATTCTGCAGAGCACAATGCAGTGAAAGAAGAGATGCTGGTATGGGCCTGACTCTGCTTTTCAGAAGACCTCATTCCCTGGCTACAGTGTGGCACAGATGGGGCTCATACTGTTCTCAGACATAACTCCAGTATCTCTGGATGCTGTCAGGCTGAGCAGGAGATAAGAACCTGAACAGGAGAATAAAAAAAAACAGTCTTTTGCCCTGCCCTGTACTGGAACCATATACTGTGTCTTTTGGAAAAGTGAAACCGAATCCAGATTTTAAGTCTCAAAGACAAATCATACTGGAAAAAATTAACTGTTTATCGCAGAGTTAGCACAGAATGACATCAGAAGCTGTCATACTCAGCCCAATAGAAAAAAGGTCATCAAACCTCCCTGACGACTGAGGATTTCAGGAAAACTTATCTATGCGGTGAAGTTTTTGATTTTAAATCTCAGTTCTGCCTTCGATCCTATGAAATATGCTCTTAATTAGAGCAATGTGGATGTCAAAGAAACAGTTTTCAAACAGGAAAGCATTTTGATCTAAAATGTTTGCTGAGTTTATTTTAAATTTATTTCTTTGTTATCAGTGCATAGCTGGACATTTTCACACATCTCCTAGCAAGCCCATTCAGACATGACTCAGTTCCTCGATATTCTCTGACTCGCTTCAGACAACGCCTGATATTTCTGCTTTTAAAATAAGGGCTCTGCATCTTCACTCCATGCAGTTTTCCCACTGACATACCTTTCTGCAAAGGAGACACAAAAGACTATAAATTTAGGATGGCAGCAAGTGTTACAGCCATGACATGCCATGGATGGTATAAAAGACTGACATGGGGTAGGCCACATACATCTAATTAAGGCTTTTCTACTTCTCACCGGGAAATGCAGAAAACATTTGAAAATCATTACCAAAAGCAGGATAAAATACAAACTACTTTATAAATGCCATCAGCTCTTGGCATTTACACATTTGGTGAAACTTCAGACACATATTTACTTTCCTAGCTTGGTCATACAAGGCATCTTTTGTTTCTACTGAAGGAAGATTAGCTCTCTGAGAAAATCGGTTGTTTGAAAGGGATATTGCAGCTAGCAGCCTTGGACTTCATCTTGGTGGCTTTAAAATCCTCTTATACTGAGTTTGGTATACAGAGGATTATAACTTCATGGGGACTTTTTTTTGCTTGTTTTTGGAGGAGGGAGGAAGGAGCAACCAGTGACAGTGGGCTTTTAATGAAAAAGTTAGATTCCCACACTCTTTGGAAATTAAATTAAAACTGTACAATTAGAGGAGCTGTAGAACTGGCAGTAAGGCCTGTTCTGCTTTCCTGTGTTTTGAGAAATTAGTGGTATAACTAAATGCAAAATTAATCCAGTTCATAAACTATCTTCTTTAACTGAAATGACAACTTACACCACAGAAGGGAAAAAATGAGAAAATTTCTTACTGAAGAGAACTCTGCACTACATTTTAAGGGGAGAAAAATGGGCTCTGTCATTTCTTTTCTTGTTCTGCATATAGTATTGATGCAGCATTGATGACTTTCTGCTATGGGATGAGAAGAAGGGAATCAAGTAACAGCTGAGTGTCCTTAAGTAAATGAATATAAATTTTAGGTCTAATCACTTAGAGTCTTTTTACATGCAGGAGATGAAAATAATTATGCATTAAAAAAACACGTGCTTTAAAGAGCACTGTTATTTCTATTTTTATTTTAGCTTTGTGAGAAATGATCAGGAAAGTGGCCCTCTAAAATAGCCCTGTTTTTCTGTTTATGGATTTTCTTTTCTGAAGAATATGGGAGTTTCCATCTGAGACAACAGCTTTTTAAAGGTGCCTAAAGTGGAGGGATGAAAAAGGCCCACACAGAGAGGAAAAATTCCATGTCAAGGAGATTTGGATATGCCAGATATTCCACTCCCCTGCAACGTATAAGGCAACCATGCCCAGCCAGCATCCTGCCTGTCTGCCCAGCTGGTCCTCAATGTCACCAGACTGACAGAATTGGGAGCAAACTGTGGGATTGTGTGCTGGTTTTGGCTGGGATAGAGTTAATTTTCTTCACAGTAGCTGGTATGGGGCTGTGTTTTGCATTTGTGCTGGAAACAGTGTTGACAACACTGAGATGTTTTCATTATTGCTGAGCAGTGCTCACACAGAATCAAGGGCTTTTCTGCTTCTCACCCCACCCCACCAGAGAGGAGGTTGGAGGTGCACAAGCAGCTGGGATGGGATACAGCTGGGACAGCTGACCCCAACTGACCAAAGGGATATTCCATACCATATGACGTCATGCTCAGTATATAAAGCTGAGGGAAAGAAGGAGGAAGAGGAGGACGTTCGGAGTTACAGTGTTTGTCTTCCCAAGTAACCATTATGCATGATAGAGCCCTGCTTTCCTGGGGTAGTTGAACAATGGGAAGTAGCAAATGAATTCCTGGTTTTGCTTTGCCTGCATGCATGGCTTTTGCTTTACCTGTTAAACTGTCTTTATCTCAACCCACAAGTTTTCTCACTTTCTGGTTCTCTTCCCCATCCCACCAGGGGGGAGTGAGCGAGCAGCTGTGTGGTTCTTAGTTGTCAGCTGGGGTTAAACCACAACAGGTTGATTTGCCAGGCTTGCAGCTCTGGATGCCCTGGGTGCAGGGAAGGTGGGAATACCTGCTTTCATCCAATATACCTGTCTTTTCAATCCCCACCTAGCCATCAGGCCAACCAGGAAAGGACCTGATGGGTCAAAACCTGTAATGACCTGGATCGGGTTCTCAGGTAACCAGCCAGCTGTCCACTGGATGCTTGACAAAACTCAGCCGTCTTTACCAAACAACATTGTCCACTGAAAGTTTTCCTCCCCTAGTGCAAAAGGCCTGCCTGTGAGAAAAAATTGAGATAATGCAGCAGAAAGAAGCACATGGACTTGCACTTTGTCAAAGGGAGACAAAGCTTCACGACTGCCCCAGCTGCTGCCAGCAGCCCATGGAGACTGCAGGAAGTTCAGCATTACAGTGGCTTTTGATCTGGTTCTGACAAAAATTCTGGCCATACGAGACAGGTTTATCTCTGTTATCTCTAGCAGAATCATATAGTACTGTGAGTGACGGCAAAATTAAGCCCACAAAAGTAAAGCCCACAGAATTCTACTAGGTGGTATGTTGCAATAGAAAAGCTTCCAGCTATGGAAGTAAAAGCCAGACTTGGGGAAATACCCATTCTTCAAGGTGAATAACATTGGTAACGAAATACTACCCTATCAAAACCAAATATGTACACTGATACTGTACTCACTTATTGCAAGAATCAGCTCTCGTCTCTGTGCAAATCCAATAAGTCTCTCCGAGTCTTTTGAAACCACTACTGGAAAGCCATTGTAGTCAGTCTCCTTGATTAGTGTCTCAACATCCTCCACCGTCATGCTGTCCTGCGTCAGAACAGAGAGAGGAGCTTCACCACGCCTTGGTCTCATGACGTCTGTTGCCAGTGTTCGGTGGGTGAATTCATCTTTCACATCCAGAAATGGGTAACCATTCAGATGAATGTGAGCTTCATAGATCCCTTCTTTCCCAAAGGCGTCTGCCACCCACTTGCTTGTGACAGCTGCAGCCATAAGAGGTACAATGTACTCCAGGCCTCCAGTTAGCTCAAACATAATCACCACCAGAGAGACTGTCATTCGGGTAACACCACCTGAAAACAATGAAAGAAGTCAAGTTTCCCTCAGTGCTCTTGAAGTATATATACAAAGCAACTCATTTGTATTTTTGTGCCTTACACTCAAAAAGGCATGAGATTATTTAAGCTGAGTACTTTGCCCTTATACTTTGTGAAGTAGTTTGGGACTTATTTCACTAAAGAATGATTTTTCATCTGATGTAATCTTCATCAAAAAGATTAAGTGAACTCACTGAAGCCAAAGATGCTAACACTGAAAAACAAATAATGATACGAAACGACTGAGCTATCAAACCGGAAAGCATGCAAAAAACCCCCAGCTATACTGGATACTTGAGAAACTAAAACTGAATCCTGCCATTAGCCCTCTAAAATGACTCCAAGAATCAGCTAAGTACCGTGGCTGGGGCAGGTGGGAGCACAGCACTGGGGGCACTGGGAGCTGGCCTTCACGTTGGCTTACCTATTGCATTCATACTGAAGAGAAAGATAAGCATTATCTTTGGGCTCACCATGGTTGCAAAATCCTATGTAAGGATAGTTTAAGGCCACTGCAAGAGCTACGTTACAGCTTAAACCCTAGCTTTTGATATCAGCATAACATAGTTTGAACTGTATACATCTTGGTTTGAGGCCATTTAGGCATGCAGCCATAGACAGAGTTTTAGCTGTATTTTTCAATCTAGTCTTTCTGTATTAATTTCATAAGCGAGCTCCTTACTCCCTCAGTTTATATTAAAGGATAAAAATAATCACATAACTGCAGACAAATGTGTATGTGTCACTGAATTATTAGGTAACATTTCTTTGCCTCTGTTCAAAAGGTAAATGTAATAAATCTGCTATTTTTAGGCCTCAAAATACAGCACCATTTTAGATGAGAGAAATCAGAAACAGGTCATTACGAGATGCTTTTAATCTAGCAGCACACAGGGCAATTAAATTGTAGGTTATTTAACACAATGGTCCAGATACGACTTTCATCTGAGGAATGCCTTAAACTTCTGACTCTGAAAAGCGGAGAGCAGATACCAGAATAAAGATCATTTAATATTATATAAAAGACTCTATGTCTCTTACTCTAAGCAAGACAGGTCTTGGGCTTAAGAATGAGCAGTGACCATTCTGCTGTATGTCTCACCATACTATTAAATTCACTGTACCTTTATTTGGACCTTTTAAAAGAGGAAGTGATTGCTGACTAACAGATCAACTGGCATAGCAGAGCAAATATTTTGTGTATCATTTCTTTTATGAACATTAAGATCATTTATGGACAAGAGGAAGCACTTTACTCTTTTTGACAGTAAGATTCATCCTAGCTATTTTAATGTGTCTACACTGCTGTAGGTGTCCACATCCAAAGGGGTGGATCCAGATTGCCTTTGTAATCTCTGGAGAGAAACAGGCACTTCTGAGGACAAATTCATCTGTCCGTTTGCCTGCTTTTAGACATCTATTGCCAGATGAGACTGATCTTTCCAGTACCTCATTTTTCTGTTTTGACTGTGAAGGGTATCAACAGAGCTGGCTCAGATGCTGATGTCTACATTACAGACATAAAATTTAGACAAGCAAATCCCACCCATCCTTTCTCTATAACTGATCACACAAGCGATCTTACTTTTCTGACAAGAGGCTCTGAAACTGAAACTTTTCCAGTTCTTCTTTAAGTACATCATTCATTTCAAATCTACCCAATTACATCAGTTGTGTGTTATGCCTCCCCACTATTATTTCATCATCTAATGACAGTATCAATGACAACAACAAAGCAGTTAGAACATTCAATTACAGAAGGGGAAATATATGATAAGGCAAAAACATGTTCAGATGGTATGCTTGTAACATTCCTGTTGTATCTATGCCTAGAAATTTGATATGTGAGGTATTATTCAATGATCTTGCTTTAATAGTTAACAGATCATTCCTGTTATATCAAATAAATCCTATTGATTGAATGTAATCAGATATTGGCCTATGGTCAAAACAAAAACCAAAAGACAGCCCAGTTGACCATAATGTGACACACAGCCAAAACAAGACCCAAAATTTTTACCTCTGTGTAGCTTAAAATCTGGCCAGAACTGAGAAGTTTGTTCCCTGCACTGACAGAGAGCACAGTCTAAACAAGGAAGTAGCATTAGTCCATCTACAGTGGATTTCATTACATCAAAAGGGAAAAAAACCAAGCAAAAAACACACTTTTTTGGAAACCTGTAGCCTACCTTTAAGTTTTTCTTTCCTTCTATGTGCTTTTTGGCAGATTACAAGGAGTAGGCCTCTCTTTTGTTGACTGCCTGGCAGATCACTGAAGACACCATTTGAGGAACCCATGCTTTAGCCCATCGTATCTATTACACCCAGAAATGCCAGCATAGTGCCTAACACAAACACAAAGCCCTCATAAACAATTTGTAGGTCCCCAGACATCAGTGTTATCCATGCAAGAAGCAATGATCAGCAGGTACTGTACCTAAGCAAGCTGCCGCTCCCACCATAGCATAAAGTCCTGGTGTGACGCAGTCTGCCCCAGGTCTGCACCAGTTCCTGAAGATGATCCAGTCATGATGGTGATATGCCAGCTGCTCTACTCCAATCCCAACCATCCTGCCTGCCATGGCTCCAACAGCCATGCTGGGAATGAAAAGACCTGAAGGGATCTTGAATAACATATGGACACATGAGCACCTTGACAAAAATGACTAGTAACGAACTTATCGATTAAACAATTTATTGTTAGTGGTAAGAGAACCCGTTTCCTTATTAAATGCTAGCTGAGAAGGCTGTAGCCTTTTGGCATCCTACAGTGATGTTCTCCATGGTCTGAGACATGTTTCTGCAGTGACTGAGCTTGTGTGGCTACATGTGTGTTAATAGCTTTATAAAATTTTAATGCATTTTTTTAAGTAATTTTGAATTCTGCCTGCTGCATCATACTGAAATTGATAGATAAATGGTGTTTCTGAATAACAGTTTGCTTTTAAAGTCAAGATGCTCCTGGTTTTGCCTTTATTGCTTTCTCAGCAGGC